TTATTAAAACATGATTTTTGAAGGAACAATACATGACCATAATTTTCAAAAGGACTAATAAGGCGAGAATTTTTTAAACATATTTTTTTCAAGAATCCTCATAAGGCATGGATTTTTATACCCTTCACCACACTGTGGTACAGGGTATTATTTCTTTGTGCATATGTTTGTAACAGGCAAAAAGAAACGAGATAGGCACATGGTTCCTTTTTGAGAATATGCATAGAATCACTTTCGTGAAAATCGGTTCAGATTTAGATATAGCTCCCATATATATTTTCGTCCGATTTATTTTAAATGGTGTACCAAAGTCCCTATATATATTTCGATTTGTACGAAATTTGGCACAGCCTAATGATTTAGGACTAGAATGATGTGTGTTTAGTTTCGTGAAAATCGGTTCAAATTTATATATAGCTCATAAATATATTTTCGTCCGATTTAAAGTAAATAGTGCACCAAAGTCCCTATATATCTTTCGATTTGCACGAAATTGGGCATAGCCTAGTGATTTAGGTCTAGAATGATGTATGTTAAGTTTCGTGAAAATCGGTTCAGATTTAGATATAGCTCCCATATATATTTTCGTCCGATTTAAAGTAAATAATATACCAAAGTCCCTATATATCTTTCGATTTGCACGAAATTTGGCACAGCGTGCGGAATTAAGTGTAGAATGATGTGTGTTAAGTTTCGTGAAAATCGGTTCAGATTTAGATATACCTCCCATATATATGTTCGCCCGATTTATTGTAAATGGTGCACCAAAGTCCCTATATATCTTTCGATTTGCACGAAATTTGGCACAGCGTACTGAATTAAGTCTAAAATGATGTGTATTAAGTTTCGTGAAAATCGGTTCAGATTTAGATATAGCTCCCATATATATTATCGTCCGATTTATTGTAAATGGTGCACCAAAGTCCCTATATATCCGATTTATATATCTTTCGAGTGTGTTGCGTAAAAACGAATTTTGGCATATATACAACCTAATAATATTATTTGCACGAAATTTCTAGAATGATGTGTGTTAAGTTTCCTGAAAATCGGTTCAAATTTAGATATAGCTCCCATATATATTTTCGTCCGATTTAAAGTAAATGGTATACCAAAGTCCCTATATATTTTTCGATTTGCACGAAATTTGGCACAGCGTGCAGAATTAAGTCTAGAATGATGTGTGTTAAGTTTCGTGAAAATCGGTTGAAATTTATATATAGCTCCCATATATATTTTCGTCCGATTTATTGTAAATGGTGCACCAAAGTCCCTATATATATTTCGATTTGCGCGAAATTTGGCACAGCGTACGGAATTAAGTCTAGAATGATGTGTGTTAAGTTTCGTGAAAATCGGTTCATATTTAGATATAGCTCCCATATATATTTTCGTCCGATTTATTGTAAATGGTGCACCAAAGTCCCTATATATTTTTCGATTTGCATGAAATTTAGCACAGGGTAATGAATTAGGTCTAGAATGATGTGTATTAAGTTTCCTGAAAATCGGTTCAAATTTAGATATAGCTCCCATATATATCTTCGTCCGATTTATTGTAAATGGTGCACCGAAGTGTCTATATATCATCCGATTTGCACGAAATTGGGCACAGCGTACTGCATAAAGTCTAGAATGATGATGCGTTAAGTTCCCTAAAAATCAGTTCAGATTTATATATATTTCTCATATATATTTTTCCGATTTTATGTAAATTGTGCACAAAAGACCCGATGTTTCCGATTGGCACACAATTTTTTGCAATCTAACAGAAGGCGTGCGTTTCTAATTTTTTACCAGGACCAACACAAGGCGTCAAGATCAATTATTATCCCTCACTTCTCCTTCTCTATCACCTATCGATATTCTTTAGGGTCCCCCGTTGTTTCAATTTTAAAGCAATAAATTTTGGATATTGTTTTATAACTTCATCAATTGGCCAGGACAGAGTTGTTGAAAAGCATACACAAAAAATAAAATAAAAACAACAATAAAAATATACAACACCGGAAAACCAGCTACTGACAAGCATCATATTGGGGGAGAATACTGACCGACCGACCACAATATTTATGTATGTACAATCAATGTGAAGGAATGAACAAATGAATAAACATTTTAAAAATTTCAAAATGGCACAGAGAAAAGAGAGGATTTTTGGTCGGGCTGGTAGGCTTATAGTCGTTCGTTGGATGTGTGTGTGTGTGCGTACGATTCATCCTTATTGAATCAATACAGTTAATGAATTCATTTGAATCTTGGTCAGAAAAATGTTCAGACTTTTGCGAACGATGATGATGGGTGGGGAAAAAATACAACAAAAAGGGAAAACAAAACCTTTTCTTTGTTTGATATGGTTTCACATATACATACATACATGTATATATCTGTGTGTGTGTGTGTGACTGCATGCTGGCTTGAAACTCTATAATCTTCTTCAAGTGGTTGCTGTCGGAAATTCTCATTCATTGTTGAGATGATGATCATCATCAGAGAGGACCAAAGTCAATTAATTGGAAACAATCATTCCCGAATAAAATGCCATTAAAATTGATTTCCATTCTTGGCAAACCATCTGCAATGATTCAGGAAGCGAGAGAGAGAGCAGCGAGTCCATTCATGGTCGACAGCTGTTGTGGTGTTACTTACTTGTTTCTTTTATGTGGTTTTCATCTAGGCAATCATTAAATCAAATGGGCGGAATTTTTTCTTCGGAGGGATTTACAGGGAGACCTGGATTTTTAAATAATATTTTTTTCAAGACTATCAAAGACGTGAATTCTTTAAAAATATTTTTTCAAGGCATAGTAATAGGCGTGAATTTTTTAAAAAATATTTTTCAGGATCTACCAAAGGCGTGGATTTTTGTATACCCTTCAACACAATGTGATACAGGGTATTATGTCTTTGTGCATATGTTTGTAACAGGCAAAAGGAAACGAGGTAGACATATGGTTCCTTTAGAGAATATGCATAGAATCGTCGTCTAAGTCGATTTATGCATGTCCGTCCATGTTAAATTGTAAACAAAGTGCAGGTCGCATTTATAATCCAAATTGGATGAAATTTTGCACAGGTCACTTATTCGGCCCAAGGACAAACCTTATTGAAATTGGGAAAAATCGGTTCAGATTTAGATATAGCTCCCATATATATTTTCGTCCGATTTAATGTAAATGGTGCACCTAAGTCCCTATATATCCTTCGATTTGCACGAAATTTGGCATAGCGTACTGGATTAAGTCTAGAACGATGTGTCTTTAATTTCTTGAAAATCGGTTCAGATTTAGATATAGCTCCCATATATATTTTCGTCCGATTTAATTTAAATGGTGCACCAAAGTCCCTAAATATATTTCTATTTGCACGAAATTTGGCATAGCGTACTAAATTGGATCTAGATTGGTGTGTATTAAGTTTCGTGAAAATCGGTTCAGATTTAGATATAGCTCCCATATATATTTTCGTCCGATTTTAGATAAATAGTGCACCAAAGTCCCTATATATCCTCCGATTTGCGCGAAATTTGGCATAACGTACTAAATTGAGTCTAGAATGGTGTGTGTTAAGTTTGAAAATCGCTTCAGATTTAGATATAGCTCCCATATATATTTTCGTCCGATTTTAGATAAATAGTGCACCAAAGTCCCTATATATCCTCCGATTTGCACGAAATTTGGCATAGTGTACTAAATTGAGTCTACAATGGTGTGTATTAAGTTTCGTGAAAATCGGTTCAGATTTATATATAGCTCCTATATATATTTTCGTCCGATTTTAGGTAAATATTGCACCAAAGTCCCTATATATCCTTCGATTTGCACGAAATTTAGCATAGCGTGCTGAATTAAGTCTAGAACGATGTGTGTTGTGTATTAAGTTTCGTGAAAATCGTTTCAGATTTAGATATAGCTCCCATATATATTTTCGTCCGATTTTAGGTAAATAGTGCACCAAAGTCCCTATATATATCCTTCGATTTGCACTAAATCTGGCATAGCGTACTGAATTAAGTCTAGAACGATGATTGGTAAGTTTCGTGAAAATCGGTTCAGATTTAGATATAGCTCCCATATATAGTTTCGTCCGATTTGAGGTAAATAGTGCACCAAAGTCCCTATATATCCTCCGATTTGCACGAAATTTGGCATAGTGTACTAAATTGAGTCTAGAATGGTGTGTATTAAGTTTCGTGAAAATCGTTTCAGATTTAGATATAGCTCCCATATATAGTTTCGTCCGATTTGAGGTAAATAGTGCACCAAAGTCCCTATATATCCTCCGATTTGCACGAAATTTGGCATAGCGTACTGAATTAAGTCTAGAACGATGTGTGTTTAATTTCTTGAAAATCGGTTCAGATTTAGATATAGCTCCCATATATATTTTCGTCCGATTTTATATAAATAGTGCACCAAAGTCCCTATATATCTTTCGATTTGCACGAAATCTGGCATATCGTACTGAATTGAGTCGAGAATGGTGTGTATTAAGTTTCGTGAAAATCGGTTCAGATTTAGATATAGCTGCCATATATATGTTCGTCCGATTTTAGATAAATAGTACATCAAAGTCCCTACATATTCTTCGATTTGCACGAAAATTGGCATAGCGTACTGAATTAAGTCTAGAGTGATTTGCGCTAAGTTTCGTGAGAATCGGTTCAGATTTACATATAGCTCCCATATATATTTTCGTCCGATTTTAGATAAATAGTGCACCAAAGCTGCTATATATCCTCCGATTTATACGAAATTTTGCATATTTTTTCAATAACTATCAAAGTCTATCAAACATTTTTTAATTTTTCTTCATTATGAGAGTTCCACTGTACATTTTTGTGGGTGTATGTATGAGTGTGTGTGCAATTATTTAAAAATCCTTTGAAAATAAAGAACACTATAATTAACGAATTAAAAATAAAAATACCTTCTTTTAATTTAATAGTCATTTATTTGTTTTATTTATCACGATTTTTTTCTTTTCGTTTCGTGTTACAGAGTTGCTCCTGGCCTACCCGATACTCGAACTTGTTTGCTGCATCAAAAGCTGCAAATGCTTAATGTATGCATTGAGAAACGATTACAGCGTGAAAAGGGCATTAAAACGGAAATGGCCATGCCTCAGGATACAATCGTCATAACAGACGATGAAGAGGATGACGATGCTGAGGACACCGATGAAGAGTTTTATGATCTGACCGATGATGGAGATGATGCAGCAGCAGATGGCAACGATAATGATGAGCCAAAGGATAAAGAGGAAAAAACATCAAAGCATCCGTTTAAAGCGGAAGGCCGTTTGAAACGTTTAAACAATTTAAAACTTATCAATGGTGAGGATTATTTATATGTTCCGATTACACAGGATTTGGCACCTAAAACCGAAGATCAGCTACAGGATGCCTCGGATGTAATGTTGAAAATGGGTTCGGATTCTGGTAAGGTTACACATTTATTTATTCGAATTATATAAAATAAAAAAATGAAATATTTTTTGCAGAATTCATAACCGATTTAATGTGTTCCACTGTGGTCTCCGATGCCGAGGCATTTAAGGCTGCCAATCCCAAGGCTCAATTTGAGGATTTTATACGTTGGTTCAGTCCCAACGATTGGGAAGAGTTTGTGGATGAGGATTCCAAGGAAACTCGGCATAAATTAAGTGCCCGCATGCAGGCTCCCGGTAATACGTGGCAAAAGGTGTGGGAGCAGGCCAAACCGGTACCAGCATCACGTCAGGTATGTAGAAATATAGAATACAATTTGTTCAATTGGTGGATTTTTTTTAAATATTTTTTCAAGGGGTAACAACAGGCGTGTATTTTTTAAAAATAATTTTTCAATGTGTTTCAATAGGCGTGGATTTTTATACGCTACACAACAATGTTGTCTTTGTAACGCCGCGAAATAATGGTCCTAGACCTTTACTATACCGATTGTCATTTCTCGACTAGCTGAGTCGATATAGACATGGATGTCCGTCTGTCAGTTATGGACCAATCTTCACGAAGTGCAATGCAATGCAGGATGGGTTCTGGCCAATGAAGACCCTATTGTGTTTGGTAAAGATCGGTTAATATTTAGGAGATGAAATGGACCAAATACTAAATTTTTGTCGGGTTTTCTGGTCGCTCCACAGGCCGCAATTATGGCCCAAATATTGCGACAAGAATATTACAAGGAGAAGGTGATCGAGGCAAATAATACGAATGCCTGTTCTGATAAAGATCGGCCATTATTTAGCGGTTTAAATTGACCCTGAGACATTTGTGTGAACAATTACAAAATTTGAAGTCTATGGCGTATGGTCTGGCGGGAGGTGGCGTTGCTTTTGAGTTGTTCGCTCAGACCATAGTAGCATCGGTTGGCCATCATTCTTTTAATTTATTTATGGCGGTACCAAGGTATATAAAATCTTTGACTACCCCGATGTTGTAGTTCTCAAGTTCCACAGTTGGTCCGAGTTTACTGGACGTCTTGCGGGTTGATACCATCAGCTTGGTTTTCTCGCCGTTTACTGCCAGACCCACTTTGGCAGACTCCTTCTCAATTTGTTCAAAGGAGGCTGTTATCGCTCTCAATGTTCGACCCATTATGTCGATGTCATCGGCGTAGGGGAGTAACATGTGTTGTTTGGTGTACAGATTACCATTTCTGTTCACTTTTTCCTCTCGTATAACCTTTTCCAGCAGGATGTTAAAAAGGTCACACGATTGTCTGAGTCCTCGTTCGGTATTAAAGGGTCCTTTCCGACTTTAACTGCTGATCTTGTGCCTGTTAAAGTTATCCTGCATAGCCGAATTAATTTTACAGGAATATCAAACGCAGATATGGCTTTATACACCTCTGAACGTATAGGGCTGTCTATTGCGGCTTTATAGTCGACGAATAGGTGGTATGTGTCGATGTGTTTTTCGTGGGTCTTTTCCAGGATTTTTCGCAGAGCGAATATTTGGTCAATGGTGAATTTGCCAGGTCTAAAGCCGCATTGGTATTGTCCAATAATGCCATTGATCATTGGCTTCAATCGTTCAGACAGCACACTGGATAGCACGTTATATGCGATGGGAAGGAGACTTGGCATATATAGACTTTTTGTGCACGGGTAAAAAATTCTGAGGTTCCAATCATTGGACATGCATTCTTCTAGACAAATTGTACTAATCAGCTGGTGCACGCTCCTTACCAGCATCTGACCACCAGTGTTGACTTTATCTTGGCTAGGTGGTATACACTATATACCGTCATCTATTATTGGTTCTGGGGTATCCTCTTCACCGCTACTATTTGATACCAGACGTTTTTCAAAATGCTCCTTCCAGATCCTCAGTACGCTGTCTGAATCTGTCACCAGGTTTCCTTCTTTATCTCTACAGGAGGATGTGCCTGTACCAAAGCCTTCGGTTTGGTGTTTTGCCCGTTGGTAGAATTTTCGGACTTCATTCTGACTGTTGTACATCTCGATTTGCTTTTTCTTTTCTGAAAATACGTTTCTCCTCTCTCCTTTTCTCCCGATAGTTCTCCATCGCATTACGTGTTGCTACTGTCCGCAGGGTTGCTCTTATTTGTGACCAAAAAAACTTTATAGGCCATATATGACAAGAGGACCTGCTAAAGCCCTAACTACTCGACAATTTTCAAGAAGTCTTTTATGACCAGAATACCTTTTATAGGCCCTACCCAGGCTAGAGGACCTTCTATGGGCCCTCTCTGCCTGAAATAACTTGTATCGATGGTCTTCCATGGCTAGAAGATCTGCAAAGAGGTTTTCCGCCAGCTAAAATGCCTTTTATTATGAGTGTAGAATAATAGGAAAGAGTTGCTGTGGCTATTTTATAGGTCCTAATTTCTCGACAGTTTTCTAGTAGGCCTCATATACGACCTCTGTGGCTAGCATACCTTCTATGGGTCATTTGTGACCATGTAGGGATTCTCTGTGACTGAAATACCTCCTATAAGTTATCTGTGCTTTAAATAACTTCTGTGGGTCCTCTTCGGTGGTTAGAAGATGTGCCCGTTCCGTAGCCATATGACCCTTTAGAATAGATACTCTGTAGAATAGATACTAAGATAGGTTTGTTATTGCTAATAGATTTTCTACAGTGGTTGGGTTTCGGTGTTGCGTTCTCATTGAATGTGAACATTTTCCCCTATTTGTTACTACTTCGAAGATTTCGGTTCAAGGCCCTTGACCAATTTCCTGGAATGAAATCTATGTATAGAAGATTTATATAAGTATTCTACCCTTAGTAAAGCATACGAAGCTCACTCGCCTTAGATGAGCTCTATAAGCTCTTCTAGCTATTTTGACCTGTAGAGGAACTTCCACAGTTATTTTCAAGGCATATTTATTTTTATAAATATTTTTTTAAGGCCTGCATTTTTTAACAAAATTATCTAAAGTTTTTTTCAATATTTTTTCATATCATCTTCCTTGTTCTTTCCAGAAACGTTTATTCGATGACACCCAAGAAGGCTATAAAATTCTCAACTATTTGGAGTCCCGTAATTTGGGAGAAATATTTGGCCTTACCATTGTACCCACTGTTGCATAGTTCCATACTGAAATTGAAGGTAATTAAAAAAAATTGATTTTTTTTTTTCAAAATATTAATAAAAAAATTCGTTTCCTCAATTTCAGGACATCTTTGCCAATTCCAAAGTCTTGGAATTATTCAATGAGTGCTTGGATGAAATTCTGGCCGATCTAAGTCGTTTTTCACGTGATGTTGAATTGGTCGAAGCATTGCCCAGTCCCAATACGGACACCCCCAAAATCAATGAAAATAAATACACTCTCCAGCTGCCGAATCCTCAGCCCCTCCTGAAGAAAATCGAAAAATTGGAAAGAGATTTCTACCATTATATATGTTTTGAATATTTACCGGGCATACGTAATTTGCCTCGAGAAAAATTACATTCGAAATTCCGTGAAATATTACAAAATAATGGCAGCTGTAATATTGTTAGTAAATCGGATGATCAAAATGTGTTGGAATTTTCCTTGCAATCGCTATTCAAAGATGATATGCGTGATAAGCTGTTGAGTAAAGATTACATTATACGTTTGGGTGATGGTTTGGTGGCCGATGAGAGTCCCAGAGATTTGGATGGGGGGAAGGAGAAATCATCAGCTGGCGTATCCAATGCCATTATGCCGCAATTTTTACGTGCAATTGTGACGGGTGAAAAATTGCGTTTGTGTGGTGCCTTCACGGAAAATACCACATTTTTGGAATGAATTTAAGATTTTAGTTTATTTTATTTTTTATTTATTCTTTGTGGTCTTGTCCTGGTGTAGGGTATTTCTATTTAAAAAAAAAAGTATTTTAAAGTATTTTCTTTAAAATTTTCTTTAATGTAATTAATTGTACCTTTAATATCTGTATCTCTCTATAAAATTGTAAACATTTTTATACTCATTTTATTCTAGGCGATTCTAATAATAAAATTTTCAAAATTTTTCGGTGTATTGTCACAATGAAATACTGTCCTTTATAAAGGTAATATTTCATTGTAACTTTTACATCTACTTCTCTATAAATGTGGTGTTATATTTTATTAAACTTTTGAAAATATTCTGAAATATCCATTGGAATTTTCAATTTATCTCAATCAGACCTTCTATAGGTCGCTAAAATAACTACAATCGTTCCTCTGAGTCTAGAAGAACTTCTATAGGCCTTCTCGTACTAGCAGATTTTCCATACGTCTTCTGAGGCCAAAAAATATAATATAGGCCATCTGAGGTTATATAATATTCGATGTAGCTAGAAAATGGATATTCTCAGCTTAAATTATCCATTGGAATTTTAAATTTACCTCAATCCGTTCAAAAATTATGATCATTTGTAAAAAATGTTGATTTTTTCCATTGGAATTTTCAATTTATCTCAATCAGACCTTCTATAGGTCAAAATAGATCCTCTATAGCTAAAATAACTACTATCGGTCCTCTGAGTCCAGAAAAACTTCTATAGGTTTTCTCGTACTAGTTGGTCTTCTATACGTCTTCTGAGGCCAGAAAATTATGGTCATTTGTATTTGATTTTTGATTTTTTTTGCATCACTGGCAAAAAGAAATGAGTTATGTAGTTTTTATAAACCTCACCCTGTCATCATCTATTGATGGGGGGGTAGATTCAGCAAACGATTATGCAAAATATAAACCTGTACCTTTCATATGACACCACTTTCATTCGAATATCTGCCCTACGAACAAGTTATGTATTTGTTATAAACCCCCCTGTCATCAACGCCATCTATTGATGTGTAGATTCGATTTTGTCAAATTTAAACCTGTACCCTTCATATGATACCACTTTCATTCGAATATCTGCACTACGAAAAAAAGTTATGGCAAAAAGAAATGAGGTATGTAATTTTTTATAAACCACGCCCCTCCCTGTCATCAACGCCATCTATTGAGGGGAATGAATGATTCAAATTAGACACACATACTCGCATCTTTTGTCGATATTTTAAATATCTTTTTGAACTTCCACATAATGCCAATTTTCTCTTATAAAACATTGACTTAAATATGTAATGTCAATATGGTCATCTGAAATTATACGATATTCGATACTTAGCTAGAAACTGTATATTCGAAGCTTAAATTATCCCTTGGAATTTTCAATTTATCTCAATCCGTTCAAAAGTTATGGCCATTTGTAAATTTGGATTTTTTTGCATCTCTGGCAAAGATATGCGGTTTTTTGCCACCTCAGGGCCATCTATTGATAGGGCACGATCATTTTGTTCATTAATTTTTAATATTTAACAAAAAAATAACCAATATTTACAAATATCTTTCAATTTGCACAAAGTGCCAATTTTCTCCTATAAAACATTGACTTCAATATATATTGTCCGTATGGAATCAAACTTTACATTTCCCTCAATCCATTTCTACAAAAATTATGAAAATCGCTTCAGAAGTTCCCGAGTTATTTGCATTTGAAGTCAACCATCTTCCAAAATATCCCTACTGTTCGATACTGGGCGCCTATTAGCTGAAAATGAAAAACCGAGCAAAAATGCATTTTTCACAAAAGGCAAATTTTGTGGTTGGTTCCATAGCAAAGCAGAGCATACTTTAAGGCGTTATGAAGAAACGAAAACAATTTTTTCTCCCTTTTTCTACGACCAATTTTCGTGTGATTTTTATTTTTAGCTAATAGGCGCCCAGTATCGAACAGTAGGGATATTTGGGAACATCGATGACTTTAAATGCGAATAACTCGGGAACTACCGAAACGATTTTCATGATTTTTGCAGAAATGGATTGAGGGAAATGCAAAGTTTTATTCCATATCGACAATATATAATTAAGTCAATGTTTTATAGGAGAAAATTAGCACTATGTGCAAGTTGAAAGATATTTGCGAATATTGGTTATTTTTTATTTTTGTTGTTGTTAAATATTAAAAATTATTGAATAACGCGATCATGCCCAATCAATAGATGGCCCTGAGGAGGCAAAAAACTGCATAGCTTTGTCAGAGATGCCAAAAAATCAAAATTTACAAATGACCATAATTTTTGAACGGATTGAGATAAATTGAAAATTCCAAGGGATAATTTAAGCTTAAAATATACAGTTTCTAGCTAAGTCGAATATTATATATCCTCAGATGACCTATATTATATGTTCTGGCCATTTTGACATTACATATTTTAGTCAATGATTTATAAGAGAAATTGGCATTATGTGAAAGTTGAAAAAGATATTTTAAATGTCGACTAATTGACGATTATCTGGGCCAAAGTTATGCTTGAAATACTGATGATCCTGATTTGAATCATTCCCCTTCAATATAGAACATGTTTATATTTTGCATAATCGTTTGCTGAATCTGCCCCCTCCATCAATAGATGGCGCTGATGACAGGGGGTTTATAAAAATTACATAACTCATTTCTTTTTACCATAACTTTCTTCGTAGGGCAGATATTCGAATGAAAGTGGTGCATATAAAAGGTACAGGTATAAATTTGACATAATCAAATCTACCCATCAATAGATGGCGCTGACGACAAGTTAGTTTCTCAGTGTTGGGGAAATTTACAGAAAATCATCGCTATTTTTAGATTCTTCATAACTGTTGAATCCGCAACGATACAGAAATAATTCAAATGGATACTGATATCTTAGAGGATCCTCTATCTATCCGTCAATAGATGGCGCTGACGACAAATCAGTTTGTGAGTACTGGCAAATTTACAAAAAAAAAAAAAAGATCATCGGTATTTTTTGATTCTGCATAACTTTTGAATCCCCAACGATACAGAAAAATTCAAATGATTATTAGCTTAGAACATCCTCTATCTATTAGTGCCTAGCGTATAATTGACAGAGTTGCCACATTAATAACAAATTATAGTTTCCATGGATTCTTTTTTTCTTTTCAGGTAATAAGTGACCTGAACAATACCATCATAAACCAGGCAAAGGTAAGGGTATAATAAAGTTAAGCATACATTTTTTAAGTTGTCAAAATATTGCTGGATCTATGTATTCAATAGATGGCGCTGGCGACGGGTCAGTTTGTGAGTGCTGGCAAATTTACAGAAAATCATCGGTATTTTTGATTCTGCATAACTTTTGAATCCCTAACGATACAGAAATAATTCAAATGGATATTAAGAGCTTAGAACATATTTTTAGAATATCCTCTATGCCCAGCGTATATTTAACAGAATTGTCACATTAATATAATATAAAAATTTCCATGGATTCTTAATTTCCAGCTAATAAGTACCCTGCGCCGAACAATACCCTCATAAACCAAAAGTCTGAGGGTATAATAAAGTGAAGCATACATATTTCATGTTGTCAACAGATGGCGCTGTGGGCACCCAGAAATTCATATCGCTGGGTAATCGATATATACTTTTTAAATGAGCGAAACTTTCGAACGGTTTGTGATATGTTTAAATTCAAGGTCAAGATCAGAATAGATCCCAAGCATACGATAATAAAACACACATTTTTGTTTGTAAAAATTTGTTTTTATTTCAAAATATTCAACAAAATTCATTACAAGGCAGATACAGAGGTAATACAATTTTTTGAAAACATATTTGTGGAACGATTTGTCCTTTACATGTGATTATATTTTTAATAGGTTATCTGTATTACTCTCCTCTAGAAGAATACAAATACGAGGCCGAAACAGTTAAATACACCTAGAGGTTGCCTTTTAGACCTGTAAAAAGTCTTCTCTAGGTATATTTAAATGTTTCGGCTAGTATATCTTCTGTGGGGCGTATGTGGTTAAAATATGTTTCATTCTGAGCTAGTCGATTTTCTGCTATGTCTAGAAGACCTTCCGTGGCGTTTAAATCGTTGGAAAAACTTTAATAAGTCCTCCTTCGAGACTAGAATAACTTCTTAGACGTCTTCTGAGACCATCAGGTCTTCTATAGGTATCCTGAGGCTTCTATAGGTCATTAGATCTTAGAAGATCTTCTACAGGTCATCTGAGACTGGCTACAGGACATTCTAGAGGTCTTCTACCACTAAAATATCTACTAATTGAAGACCTGTTGTTCTTTTTCTAGTATGCCCTTTATAGGGCGAGCCTCTATTGGTATATGAACTGCTATAAGTCTTAGGATACTGGATAATCTTCTATAAGTTTAGTATTGCGTTAAAGAACTTCTATTGGTCGTTTGAGATTAGAAAAACTTCTATTGGTCACCTGGGGTTAGAAGATCTCCTATTTGCCATGACAAAAATACCTTCTACAGGGCTTATTATGTCATCTGAGGCTAGAAGGCCTTCTACAGGTCTTCTGAGAGTAAAAGGTATTCTATGGCAAAAATCTGAGAAGACTTCTGAGGCAAGAAAACATAACAAAAAGTCATCTGAGGCTAGAAGAATTTCTAGAGGTCCTCTATCATTAGAAGATCGTCTACAGGATCCTCTGAGATGGGAAAAAACATCTATAGATCTTCTATGCGTCTTCAGTGTCGTCTATAGGGCCTCTGTGGCTTCTACAAGGGTTTGTACAAGTCTTCTGAGGCAATATATTCTAAGATACCATCTATTGATTCTCAGCGGATAGAAAGCCTTCAAAATGTCTTCGGGACTAAGATACCTTGCATAGCTAGAGAATCATGACCAGGCCTCCTATGGCTATAAAACCTTTTTGAAGTCTCCTGAGGCTATACGACTTTCTATAGGTCTTCTGAGGCAAAAATGCCTTCTACAGGTCGTTAGAGGTTAGAAAGACTT